TAATTCTACAAATTCCATTCAACTTAACGTATGGTTCATAAAATGATGTTATTAAGCTCTGCTAATGCAGATAAGCTTTCTTTCAACACATGGTTTAGTCATAGTTACCAAATCTTAGTTGAGGCAACCACGATTTGGTTTGAGAGTGGAACATATTCGTGCTTGTGAGCCCCCCCTAAAGAATGCTGAGCGTTCTCTGAGCAAAAGTGTGTTTCACATACGAAGAGCGCCAGCTGAGCAATGCACACCAGGGATGAAAAATGGAAATTTCAGATTGTACCTAATATCATAAAATATATGTACCTAAATGAGACAGATTGTACCTAAAAAAAGTTACATAATTCATTTGTAGTTTTTTTTTATAAATTTTATTTAAAACATGAATACAAAAGATGGATGTACTCTAAACATGGTTATGTTTTTTTTTTTCAACTGAGCCTATATCTATGACTATAGTGTGATGGGAATCGGAGAAGCGTTGTTTTGTCTAACTTTGACTACTGAAAAATATTGGTGAAAAAGACAAAAAACACGCTTTGCGAAGTATACTTCTTTATCCAGCAACAACACGAAAAGTCTGCTAATTTATCGGATTCCTTTTAATAGGTGCAACAAGTCTAGAGAAAATAATCAAATTGCCGTAAGTAACTTCGAAAGTATTTTAAATATATTTCTAGAAATCAAAAACGAATATGGGTCAATAATAATAATTGTACCTAAAATCGACTGACTGTACCTAATGTACCTTTAAGTCATCAAACGTCGGAATAAGGTAGAATTGTACCTACTTTTTCATCCCTGATGCACACTGTCCCACCAGTGCACTATGGTCCCAATTCCGTTTTTTTTGGCATAAAGTCAAGAAACTTGTTGATAGATTTTTACAAAAAAAAGTACGTATTCTTAACAGAAACTCGTCAGGGAACTCATATTAAAAAATTTAAAAGTGTTGGGGGCAACACTGTACCTAATATAAGCTGTCAAAGTGGACGTATTGAAATTGTTTCTTTTAACAATAACTGTTGTGTGGAAAATCTGTAAACAAAAACAAGTGTAAATTTAAAGCGTTGTGAATTAGTAAAAAAAAATAAAATGCAAAACTTTAGCCAAGGTATCTAAATTATGACTTAATTAAAAAAAATGTGAACAGTGATGTAGTACTTGGGGAATATAGCATTTTGTGTGAACGTATATTCTGTGTAAAAATTGAAAACTTTTCGGTGTTTGGTAGGAAAAAAATAATGTGGATTGTTCCGGATTGCTCTTAAATTCAATATGAAGTGAAAGCTAATTATATGTATTTCATTTTAGTTTGCGTCATTTTTGCCCATTTTTGCTCAAATTAAAAATATTTCATATTTTTTAGAAACATTCGTATTTCAACACGAGGAATTGCTCAACATTTGGGAAGAATGCGGCCGCAAAAGCGACGTTGTTTTCGAATGGGTGATTAAAAAGATTAAAAACAACGAGCTTAGTTTGGAAAAAAAGGATGACATTCGAAAAAAAATACGAAATTTGTTTAGCTATGTGACAAAAAAACTTTCGAATTGCAACAGATCGTTAAAAAGATTTAAAGAAAAGCACGCAACATGGATTTCTGCAACCGCTGTTATTTCGATTAGCGACAAAGATTATGAAAAACCCTGTTCAAGTAAAATTGGACGACCACAAGTAAATTATACATGCGCAAAGGACAGAATGAAGCGAAAGCTGGCAAATGATCTTTCATCAGAAAAAGATCATAATACTGATTTAATGGTTCATGCAACTAAAATTTCTGCTAGGAAATCTAACAATAAGGACCTGACGTTTGTTTTAAAACATATTACAAGTTCTCCGACGCGGCCTAGTAAGATAAAAAAATTTATTTCTTCTGATCAAAGTAAATTGATTCCACTGACTCCAGAAGAAGCATTAGCATTCCTACTAGGCATTACATCAGAGTAGCACAAAACTACTCCAACATAATAACAATGGCATTGTTGCTATATTTTTTCGTTTGTACACAATTTTGTTTTTCACTTCTCAAATACTTTTTCGAAATTAATAAAAACCAAGACAAAAATTAAAAATTATATGTTGCCTCTGACGGTATTCGAACCCGAACATGCTGGGAGCTAAGAACTAACAGCGAGCATCTCTACACGTTCAGCTACAGCCAGACATGCAAATGTGCTTTCAAATGCTCAACTTCAATCCCGTTTCGTTAAAACACGAGCAGTGATCGGATAACAAACAATAAGCTAGCGCAGAGACACCAGTTGGTCCGCTACAGCATGACAGAGGAACACTTTTGTAAGTACTCCAATTTACCACAAATAGACTACATGATCCAACGATTTTTGCAGGGGTATGCCGACCATTGCATTGTGCGTGGAAATAATTGCTCCGCTACCGCTGTTCGTATATGGGTAAACACGCATGTGGTCCCAGAGCGCTCAGTAAGCTATGGCATGTCGATCGCTGCGCTAGGTAGAGAAAGAAAATGTGTGCTATGACCATGGTTGCCACTCGTCAACATTTTTTTCTACCAAAATCTCTTAAGAAAAGTTACCAAATCTTCAATACCAAAATCTTCCCTTCTTCACTGAGAAAAAATATACTGAATAAAACTGCTATATTTCATAACAAATGTGTATATACTTACAGCCCGATTCTGTGCACTTAATAAACTCAGTATTTTTATAAATTGTAAATTTTCGATTATTTATCAAAAACAGTCAGTTCTAGCAAAGAAGTTTAAATCTATTGTTAACCGACTTCCAAAAAAGGAGGAGGTTATCAGTTCGTCGGAATATTTTTTTTTTTTTTATGTATGTTACCGCATAACTTTGGACCACGTCAACCGATTTCGATAATTATTTTTGCATCGGAAAGGTAGTGTCTCAGTGGTTGAGATCCGATCAGTGGATCATGAGATATATATATATATATTTTTTTTATATGAGAGTTGAAGTCGGTTTTTTTTGCTAAAAATTACTTGTCTTGATCAATTATCAAGAATTAAAATGCTATTGACAATTATAGTAATTTTTTTTATTAGAAAATATTTTTAACCGACTTCCAAAAAAGGAGGAGGTTATCAGTTCGTCGGAATATTTTTTTTTTTTTTATGTATGTTACCGCATAACTTTGGACCACGTCAACCGATTTCGATAATTATTTTTGCATCGGAAAGGTAGTGTCTCAGTGGTTGAGATCCGATCAGTGGATCATGAGATATATATATATATATATATATATATATATATATATATTTTTTATGCGGGAGTTGAAGTCGGTTTTTTTTTTGCTAAAAATTACTTGTTCTATCAATTAATTACTGTATGTGCCGATATTCTCGTTTTCGTTGTTGGTGTTTCCGACACGGTAGGAGTATGATATAATGTGGAACGATTTTTCGTCATCTTTTGGCAAATTTGGTTTGGAGACAAACCGCTTTCGGCGTTGCGCCATCTTCAGTGTCATTTTTCGTTCGGAATGTGCCGATATTTGAACCTGCGACTCACGGAATAATAGCACCGGCATACAAAAAAGTGGCGGGTGCTTTTAACCGAAATTTCGAGCTACTTTTTCGGGTTTTCATCACTTACTGTACGTGTCAAGCGGACCTCAGATTCGGATTCTGTGGGTCGAAATACATGTCGGTAGGTGGGACTGGTAAAAAGCGACCTTTTTTTTGTGCCGGAATAATCAAAACGATTTGTGGACCTTACCAAAAATTGCCAGATGACCGAATTTTTATACCATTTTTACTGTAGAATTCAAAATGTATCGCAAACATTCGAAAGTTGTTTCAGAAGTGCAGCCCGTGGTGCTGCCACTGTAATTCAAATATTTCCAGTATTCGAATATGAGGTGGCTCTAATTTCATCGAAGAAAATTTGTAGAAGTGTCAGTAGTGCTGCCACTGAAACTCGAAGGGTTTTTATAATTACGCACATACAAAACATAATTAATTTCTTTCTAGTAATGCAAATAGGNCCCGTGGTGCTGCCACTGTAATTCAAATATTTCCAGTATTCGAATATGAGGTGGCTCTAATTTCATCGAAGAAAATTTGTAGAAGTGTCAGTAGTGCTGCCACTGAAACTCGAAGGGTTTTTATAATTACGCACATACAAAACATAATTAATTTCTTTCTAGTAATGCAAATAGGTGTTTGGTTGCAAAAGTTACCAAAATAAAATAAAAGTTACCAAGTTACCAAATCGTCTAAAAGTTACCAATTTTGGTAAAAAGTTACCAATTGTGGCAACCATGGCTATGACATGCACAGAATTGTTTGTCTAAGTTTCAGTTTTTCTATCACCGCGAGTTGTTTCGGCGCGCGCATAGTTATTTAAAAATATAAAGTTTGATGCCAACCGGGGTTTTTTCAGTGGATATATAATTCATGTGAATTATAATTTGAAAGTGTTTATTTAGCCAAGGAAAAAGCAAAGCAGTATACTTCCAGCAGATATNTCATGTGAATTATAATTTGAAAGTGTCTATTTAGCTAAGGAAAAAGCAAAGCAGTATACTTCCAGCAGATATTGACCTGGGTTTTCGCGCGACAGTTCCTGTTTCATAGTTGTTTTTTATGAAAGTCTTACCACCATATACATATGTATTATTTACTTTAGTAACTAACTTATGTAAATATGTACGTATGCTTAATATATGCAAATAAAAGAAAGTAAACACAACAAACATCGAGTAAATTTTTATTTGTGCCAAACTGAAACTTTTTTTCCAATAATAAACGGTTAGCTGATTCAAGTCTACAGCAAGTTCACAAAATTAATTGAAAACTTGTATCAACCAAAGCATTGTTTATATTTGCTCAACAATGATTTTATTCAACTAACAATATTGTCCAATCAAGGTAGTCGTTTTGTAATTATTAACAAATATACATTTGTCCCAACTAGAAGTCTTAAGTAAATTGCAGACTTTCGTGAACTATATATTTATTTCGCCATATCCAACTATGCCACTTGATCACTATAACCAAATCTTGGTTATTATAAATAAACCTTTTTCTGGGTGTATGCTAACATACGGTATAAAGTTTCGTTGCCAAAGTACACACATATTCTTGCTTTAAATCTTATATTTTATGAATGGAAACACTCTACGCGATTCGAAAGTTTTAGATAGTAGGAATTCATATTCGGATCGAATACAATTTTCGAGGTTGGTACAATTTTCAAGTTGGTTCTCCCAACTTTCTAAAGACTTCATTCAGGCAAGAGTTTAGTTTAATTGGATGGTTTCTTATTTTTGGATCTCATTTAATGGTTCGTTTATAACCTCTTATTGTTTCCTCTATTTTTTATCATTAGGGGAAATTGAGTGCGCAAAGTGAAATTTGACTTGGAAAGGAAGTTAATAATTCCTGCTGGAAAAATTTTTGTCAGCAGCAATTCGCCATCAAGAAAAACAGCTGATCAAAGTCATTATGAAATTAGTGAATTTTATTTTGATGCTTTTAAAGTTTAAAATAACTCATTAGAACTGCAAATGTTTCGGAAGAAAGCAAATACTCATTTACTTACGTTTGCTTACCAAATTTCTTTACAAACTTTTATTTTATACTCTTCATGTTTTCTGTTTTATGCTTTTGTGTGTGAACAAAATTTCGATCAGCTGTGCTAACAACTTGCAAGTTTTTGCTAATTGTGCGTTCGCGTACTTTTTTGGATATTTTCAAATTTGAGAGATAATCGTTCGTTACTCTCCTGCAAGTTCTGCCATATATTTTTCACTGGAGATCTATTCAAACAGACTAATTTTCGAACCAGATTCCTAGCAGGCCAGTTTTAAGCCCGTATACTGCATTGGCGGTTGGAACGGCATAGGTTACAATCCTCGTCTACGCTTTGGTTGATGTACTTCATGTTGGGGAGGTTTCTAAGCCGTAATACCTTAGTCCCAATCCGCCCCTATGATTTGGGTGGACGAGTTTCAAAAATGCACTGCCTTGACGGTTGGAACGGCCTAGGTTCCAATCCGCGTCTATGCATTAAATTCCACTTGTACGCCTGGGGACACGAATTTCGATACGATACGATACCATATCGATACTTTTGGCATTCGATACCGATATTTTCTACTCGATAGTTTTAAAACGATATTTTTTGGAATCGAGTACCAGAACCCTAGTATCGTATCGAATGTAATAAACTCACTGTTCAATATTATGGCATAGTCTTTTACTTTCCTACTAACTTTTAGCCCTGTAATGTTGTACTGAACATTGAATTGTTTTACCTTTTGCAACCCTGTAATGACAACTGAGAATTGTATTTTTTGTAATAAACTCTCTTGAATTCTGAATTTTTAAAGAAAAGACACGCGGTTTTTTCACTTAACCTTAATTTTTTAACAACGCTCGTATTACTATTAATGTCTTCGCTAAACTCACATTACAAGGATAATGTTATTAACAATTCTTCCCGATATAAATTGGGCTTTTAAGAGCAGAAATGTGTAATATAGTTAGGATTGCATGTGGTGGAATTTGAACCCGCGACTTCGGTGTTTTAAGACAACACCATATCTACGTGTTGTTACACAATATGTTAGTGTTTGACCGAGATTCTCCTCCGATTTGTAAAGTGCGCCTTAAGTTCTGAACACATTAAAAACGACGAGCTACGGGCCACAGCTTCCAATTTGTTATCTTCATTGTCTAAACGCTTTGTCGATGGCGACATGATTTTTTCGAATGTGTCGGCGACATCATGAATTTGTACGAGTTTGACATAAAA